CCCAATGCCACCGCCCCGCATGCGTCCCCCACACCAGTTCGGCACACCCCTCATAAATTTCGTGGCTCGCTAGGGAGCTCCACGAAGGCCCCAGTGCCACCCCCGCATGCGTCCCCACACCCATTTCGGCACACCCCTCACACGTTTCGTGGTCCTATAGGGAGCTCCACCGAAGGCCCCAGTGCCACCGCCCGCATGCGTCCCCCACACCCAGTTTCGGCACACCCACGTTGCCCCATAGGGAGCTCCACCGAAGGCCCCAGTGCCACCGCCCGCATGCGTCCCCACACCCATTTCGGCACATCCCTCACACGTTTCGTGGCCCAATAGGGAGCTCCACCGAAGCCCCCAGTGCCACCGCCCGCATGCGTCCCCCCCCCACACACCCATTTCGGCACACCCCTCACACGTTTCGTGGCCCCATAGGGAGCTCCACCGAAGGCCCCAGTGTCACCGCCCGCATGCGTCCCCCACACACAATTTCGGCACACACCTCACGCTTCCTGGCCCCGTAGGGGGCCCCACCGAAGGCGCCAATGCCACCGCCACCATGCGTCCGCCACACTCAAGGTTTCAGGGGGCAGCTCCAGACCTCTAGGGAGAAGGAGGAGGCGGAGGGTCAGGACCTGCGCCGCGGACGACCCGCGCGTCGCTGGGACCCTCCCCGGGCGACCAGCGCGCGTCGCGGGAACTCTGTGCTTCGTTCTTCCCTGCGCCTCGCTCACCCGTCGTCGCTCTGCCCAGCGGTCAGAGCCTTGTCCGCTATCAGCGAGCCAGCTAGCTAGCTAGCTCTCTTTGCTCCGCGCAGCGGACGACCCGCGCGCGTCGCTGGGACCCTTCCGGGACGACTGGCGCGCGTCGCGGGGACTCCGCGCCGCGCTGCGCCCGCAGCTTTGGACTTTAAGGGCGCGGGCGAAGAGGGAGGATAAGAAGGGAAGGAAGCGGGCGCGATCCTCGTGAGGGGCGTGCCGACATGGGCGTCGCGGGGTGCGGGCGCTGCCGCCAGGTGTCCCGCGGAAGCTTTCTACGGCGGCCACGCTCAGTGTCACGAGGGCACAGACAGGCATAACCGAACCATTCACATTCATATATTTTACACGAGGCGTAGCCATGATCGCATTCGGGCAAATATATTCGCTCGCACGCAGACTCATTCACACTTACATTCACCCGCGCTCAGATTCACCCGCGCTCAGTCTCTCGTAATTCGACCAATCGTTTTCCTTCGTGTTGTGTACCCCGCCACATTTCGGCACGCCCCTCATACGGATCGTGGGCGCCACCGAAGAAGATATTCAAAATTGCGGTAATCACAACTGCATATGGTTGGGTCCTTCGCCAGGATCAGTCTTATTTGTCGTCCAGAACCTGCTTGTAGTAGGACACGCCCGACCTAAATGGAGGTGCTCTACTCGGGTCGGGAACTTCGGCTTGTTGTGTCGGGCCCCTGGTGCTAACCTGCCACGCCTCGGCGTGGCACGCTACCCACGCCCCAGTCTCTGAGCGTCGCCGTCCCGCGCCTCTTCGAGCCTCCCTCCCCGCGGAACGGAGCGACGCGCTATCAGCTCGCAGGGACATGCTAAGCAAAAGCTCCTGAGCGGAAGCCCTCTGCTCCGACCAAAAAACAAAGGACACCGCCCCGCCTACGGCTTTCCATCTTGCGCTACGGCCCATCGGTGGCCGTAGCGTATATCATTCAAAAACCTTACGCCCGATGTCTTGGTAAGTGCTAAGCCCCGTCGGGCTGTAGGTGGGGTGGTGTCGTTTGTTTTCTGGTCCACCTTTGGTCCTTTCTATACGAAGCAGCGCTGTTTGTTTGCTGGTTGGCCGCAGCGGAGAAACTCGCCCGGGTTAGCAGCAAGTGAACCGGGGCACTTCTTCAACCTGGGACGACCCAGGGTGCCCTCGAGGGCGCGAAGTCATTCGCGCTTCGCGGTTCGGCTCCGGTTCCTCCTCATCCTCCTCATCTTCCCTGGGGGGTTGCGCAAACCCCACGTTATTCGCGCTTCGCGCAGCGCGAAGCACGAACTTGGGTGCCTTTTCGACGATGCTGGTTTATCCGATCGGGCGGGCCATAGCCAGAACGCTCGGGCTGCTCTTGATCTGAGAAGGCAAGGGCCTTGGAAACGAGGCAAAAGGACAATCCACCATGAAAGCAGGTGATCCAGGAGGACACGGGATCCCGATTACAACCCAGGATGCGAAGCCACTCCTCGGGAAGGCTTTCGAGAAGAAGCGGGGGGTCAAAATCTGAGTGTGTTCGGACGTCCGTACGGATTTTTCTTTGGGTTGGCGGGGGACCCCCTTCCCCAGAGCTCCTTGGGGAGAATGGTGAGGGTGCCGGGCAGGATCGGCGGCGAGCGCAGGCGCGGCGGGACACACGCACAGACACAGAGACACAACACACACAACACAACACACGCACACAGACACAACACACAACACACACGCACAGACACAGAGACACAACACACACGCACACACAGACACACACACACACACACAGACACACACACACACACAGACACTCACACACAGACACACACACACACACGCACACACGCAGACACAGAGACAGAGCCACACACCCACAGACACACAGACACACTCAGACACACTCACACACACACTCACACGCACACACACACACACACACACACACACACACACACACACACACACACACACACACACACACACACACACACACACACACACACACACACACACACACACACACACACGCACACGCACACGCACACGCACACGCACACGCACACGCACACGCACACGCACACGCACACACACGCACAGACAAGGCTCCAGGGTGGCATTTCGGTCAGGTCGCTGGGGTCAGGACCACGTGGGGCTCAGGAGCGGCTCTGACTTTCGGACCGCTCCCTGGATTTGGCTCCGTGGCCGAGGCTCGCCGTGGCCATTTCGGCGTTCTTTGTGTCAGAACGATGGCCGTGTGTGCAGGCTCGAGTTTGCCCTGGGACGCCGCGCGGGGTGCCTTGTCAAGCCCGCCGACCTCCAGCCAGGGGGGGGGGCCACTTGTGAGGGGATGGAGGGCCCTCGAGGCGCCCTTCCTCCGGCCTCCTTGTTTCTACTCTCCCTCCTCCATCCTCCCTTCTCCCTCCTCCTCTCCCTGCTCCTCTTCCTCCTCCTCCTCCTACTCCTCCTCCATCTTCCCTGCTTGTCCTCCTCCCTCCTCCATCTTCCCTCCTCCATCTTCCCTCCTCCATCTTCCCTCCTCCATCTTCCCTCCTCCCTCCTCCATCTTCCCTCCTCCATCTTCCCTCCTCCGCCACCTGCTCCCCCCCCCCGCTCTTCCGTCCTCCCCGCCTGCAGTGCGTAGGCCTCCGTCCTCCCCCCTCCCGTCGTTTCGTCTCCCGCCTCGCCGGGGCCCCGGCTGTCGGGCCGCGCGGCGCAGAAGGGGGGCTGGAGGGACGGGGCCGCAGCGGCGGCGAAGCGAAGCGAAGCGTGGAAAGAGAAGGGAGGAGAGCGGGTTAGCGCGAGGAGGGTTGGTAAAAGTGAGCCGTGCGAGCAGGGAAGATGGGAGGAGCGGCGGGGCATGTGGCAGAGGAGGAGGAGGAGGAGACGGAGGAAGAGGAGGAGGAGGAGGAGGAGGAGGAGGAGGAGGAGGAGACGGAGGAAGGAGATGAGGGGGACGGCGAGGGGGGGCGGAGGAGCAGGATGAGGAGGTGCAGGAGGAGGAGGTGGAGGAGGAGGAGGAGGAGGAGGAGGAGGAGGAGGGCAGAGACGCATGATAGGGGAGGAGGAGGCGGAGGAGGATGAGGAGGAAAGGAAGGTGGCATGATGATGATGCTGACGAGAATGATGTTGCTGATGATGATGATGATGATGATGATGATGATGATGATGATGATGATGATGATGATGATGATGATGATGATGATGCTGATGTTGATGATGATGAGGAGGAGGAGGAGGATGCTGCTGCTGATGATGATGATGATTGTGGTGATGATGATGATGATGATGCTGATGCTCATGCTCATGCTCATGCTCATGATCATGATGATGACGATGGTGATGATGCTGATGATGCGGATTTTGATGATGATCCGTCTCATAATCAGGATTATCATTATGATGATGATGCTCATGCTGATGATGCTGATGATGCTGATTATGATGATGATACTGATGATGATGCTGATGCTGTTGATGAGGATGAGGATGAGGATAGGGATGAGGATGAGGATGAGGATGATGATGATGATGATGCTGATGATGATGATGATGATGATGATGATGATGATCATGATCATGATCATGATCATGATGATGATCATGATGATGATGCTGATGATGATGATGGTGGTGGTGGTGATGATGATGAGGAGGAGGAGGAGGAGAAGACTGGATGATGTGGGTGAGGTGGACGATGATGGGAGGCTGGAGGGGTAACATCGTAGGAGGAGGTGGATGGGAGATTCAAGGGGGAGGCTTGTCATGCAGTCGAGGGGGAAGGGGGGGGGAAGTGGAGGGAGGCGGGGCTGAGGAGAAAGCGGGTGAGTTGAGCAAGGAGGAAGGGGAGGACGGTGAGCGGGGGGATGTGGAGGACGTGCATAACATGAGGAGGAGTATGTTGAGGTGGGGGAGGCGGGCGAGGAGGGGATACTGATTCGACGATGAGGCGGATGAGGAGGAGGAGGAGGACGACGAAGGCGACGGGGAGGAGGAGGAGGTGGAGGAGGAGGAGGAGGAGAGAGATGAGGAGGAGTAGGTGGAGGAGGACGACGATGGGGATGAGGCCGAGGAAAAGGCCGATCGTCGCGACGACTCAGGGAGAGGCGTGGCCGACCGCAGACAGGGATGCGCCTCCCGACTCCGCCCGCCGAGATTGGCAAGCCCGACCCCCTCGCGCCGGGGAGCCAGAGCTTCATCGAGCACGCAGACATCCTCATGCAGTTCGGCTCCCTGCGCACCACGAAGTCACAGACCGCACCTCGCCTTGGAGAAGGAGGAGGAGGAGGAGGAGGAGGAGGAGGAGGAGGCGAGATACGGGGGAAGGGCGTGGAGGGACCGACGAGGCGGTCTGCGTTGCGTGCGCGGTGCGGTGCGGTGCGGTGGGGTGTTCTGTCGGTTCGGTGGCGTTCGTGGGCCTGCGCGCTCGCGCCAGCTTCTCCTCTCTTCTTTTTCACCCTTCTGCTGCTCCCCCTCCTCCTCCTCCTCCTCCTCCTCCTCCTCCTCCTCCTCCTCCTCCCCCTCCCCTCCTCCTCCTCCTCCTCCTCCTCCTCCTCCTCCCTCCTCCTCCTCCTCCTCCTCCTCCTCCTCCTCCTCCTCCTCCTCCCTCTCGCCCGTCACGGTGCGGTCGCGTGCATGCCTTCGGTTGAGGCACCCTTTCGGCGTTTGTTCCCGGCTGTTGGCTCTCTCCTCTTGCCGCCTCGTTCGCTGGATGCGACGCGTGTGCGCGCTTTGTCTACCTTCCGCGCTTCTCTTCCCGTAATGAGCTGCACCTCAGTGCCATCAGCTGCAGGAGCAGAGCAGCTCACGCTACCAGGCTGTCCAGCGGTTGCCGCAATCCCGGCGCGCCGCCTAGAATTCTTCGCGATTCTACGCCCGACGCTGGCAGTGGTTTGCCGCTCGCCAGAGATGGCACGGTCCTGGCCGAGCGGGATCGGAATTCGCTTGCAAGTTAATTTGGCGTGTCCCGTTCGTTGATGGCATCGCCCATAATTCACCGTTGCGCATGGGGAACGATGAAATGTTTACGTGTATATGCGTGTCTGCATGTGTGCTTCCGTTTGTCTGTTCACGTCATTCCGTTTCGCTCTCGGGATTGCAGTTCTGGTGGGCCACCGAGCCACACGAGAGTGTTGTTTACTCCAAGTCTCATAATAGTGGGGGGGGGGGTCAAAAAAGTGTTTGACGGCGTGGGGGGGGGTCAAAAAAAAGTTTGACGGCCGGTCTGGGACCCCCCCCCAAGACAGGCAACAAAAGGTCCAAAATCGAGACCCCCCCACAAATGTGTTTGACGAAGCCCGTGAGACCCCCCCCCAGAAGCAGACCCCCCCCATTGTTATGAGATCCAGAGTAACAACAGCGCCCCTCTGTGTTTTGGTTATGCGGCCCTCGAGATCATTGCATTTTCGTGCTCATCTCTCTGGCCTCATTTTGCCCTTCCCGCCCGCTGGTCTGCACGCTCAACCCCATGCCCTTCCAACAGGGTCGATTGGATGTGTATCCTCTCTGTCCTCCTGCTTATCTTCCAGGTCACCCCTGCACATGTGCTGTTCAGGCTTTTTGCTTTGGTGGCTTGTGTGGTGACTGCTCGTGCTCTTGGCTGGTCCGAGGTCTGGTGGTTCGTCGACTGGCTTACCGCACTGCGTGCGGCCTCTGTGGGTCGCGCCCCGGTCGGGGGAGATGAGGTGGTTCACTTCTTTTCTTGCCCGTCCCTGCTCCCTCAGCTCTTATCAGGAGCGAAAGAAGGACGTACACGTACATGAATCCACGCTGTTTTCGAGATTTCGCATTCGGCGAATATTCGTATCACGCGGCCGGTCTCGCGGGTCAAGGGGCCGTGTTCATGTACATAGCTGGGCGCGTACGTCCTTTGTGGGCTCCCTCAGCCCTCAGTGGGCCCTGGAAACGACAGGGCCGCCTTTTTACCGGTTCCGTTTTGCCGTTTTCTATGGCTGGTTCCGACACCGTTTTTTTACCGGTTCCGTCGCCGTTTTTTGACCAGTTCCGGCTCCGGTTCCAATCCTGGAGCCGTTTTTTGGCCGTTTCCGGTGGCATTTTTTTTTGCCGTTTCCATTTTCAAGGAACATTCTTGTAGAAACGGTGAAAAAACGGCCCTGCCGTCCAGGGCCCACAAGCCTCAGCTGTCTTCTCTTGTCCCTGCCTTGCCGTATTTTGTTTCTCGCTTTGTCCCCCCTGTTGTGAAGGATCGTGCACGAAATTCCCGAGACTGTGCCCGAATGCCGGCTGGCCATGCTAATAAGACATCATTTATTTCATTCGACATATAACTCCATCCATGCGAGCCTGCGGAAAGTACTGACCCAATGGGGTGCCGCCTCCCCTCCAAGCCCGCAGTCGAGCGCTTGGGCGAAGACACGTTCATATACGTGCGTTGATCACCCGACCGAGGCGCCCAGTGAAGCACAGACCCACGGGAAGGTGAGCGCTCCTCCATCTTGTCCCATTCCCCCCTCTGATGGCCAATGTTTTTCATAGTTCTGGCTCGGGCCAATGCAGTTTGTTGATCCGTCGATGCGCGCGACAGCCTTGTTTGGGCAACAACTCCCGCTCGTCCTTCTCCGTCTCCCTCTCTGTTCCCACCTCTTCTCCGGTGTGGTGTGCTTCCTTCGCGCACGTCAGGTGAGAAAGAAAACGGTTTTCACGTGCAACCGCTCTCACGCTCGCGCCCTGCACGCGTGTTGTTGAGTCCTGATGTCCGTTCCTAGTAGTAGTAGTAGTAGTAGTAGTAGTAGTAGTAGTAGTAGTAGTAGTAGTAGCAGTAATAGTAGTAGTAGTAGTAGTAGTAGTAGTAGTAGCAATAGTAGTAGCAGTAGTAGCAGTAGCAGTAGTAGCAGTAGCAGTGGCAGTAGTAGTAGTAGTAGTAGTAGTAGTAGTAGTAGTCGTAGTAGTCGTGGTAGTCGTAGTAGTAGTAGTAGTAGTAGTAGTAGTAGTAGTAGTAGTAGTAGTAGTAGTAGTAGTAGTAGTAGTAGTAGTAGTAGTCGTAGTAGTAGCAGTAGCAAGTAGCAGTAGTAGTAGTAGTAGTAGTAGTAGTAGTAGTAGTAGTAGTAGTAGTAGTAGTAGTAGTAGTAGTAGTAGTAGTAGTAGTAGTAGTAGTAGTAGTAGTAGTAGTAGTAGTCGTCGTAGTAGTAGTAGTAGTAGTAGTCGTCGTAGTAGTCCCTTCAAAAGAGAGTTCATCCTTGTTCCTGGTCCTCGTCCTTGCGAGATGCGGTCGCGAAGAAGTTTTGCTCCGCGTGTCGCGCCGCCGATTCCGGCCCGGCACGCTTCGGCGCGGCAGCGGCCCGAGCCTCTATCCCAGCCTCGGCCCCCCGCCCCACGGCGCGCAGCGGCACGCCATCGGCTTCCAGGCCACAGCGTGTCTCAGAGGGGGAAAAGCACACAGACACAAATAATCGTCGATCCCCCAGAAAATAGATGGGAAAATATGGGAAATGGTGGGGAAGACAAAAGCCCAGAAAATATAGGAAAATAGAGGGAATATTTTCATTTGTGTGTATTTATTCGTGTGTCCCAGGGCCCCTTCAGTGTCGTCGGGGCCTTTTCACCACCCTCCCGATTCTCCAGCCCTTCCTCGCTCTCTACCGCCGCGTCTCCTGCCTTCCGGCCCCACCCTGGGAGGATCCAGCAGTACATCACCAAGGATTTCATCAGCAACCTCCGAGCCATGGGCTCCCGAGTCACGAGCCACCCGACGTTTTTTGCGAAGGACGGCCGGCCGACTGTGGCCGTGCACGTCCGCAGGGGCGACGTGAAGCGGCTCAGCGCGAACAACCACAGGTCAACCGGGTGGGCTGCCGCGCGAGGCCTGGGCAGTTTCGGGGGGGCGTCGTCAGAGTAGGAAGGGGTAAGGTATTGCTACCGTTCGCTTGTTTTCGCCTCTGTGGGCCTCCTGGGATGTCCTCGTCGCCACGGATGGACTCGCCTCGAAATCTTTGTCGGAATGCACCCCGGGAGCGGTCCAGAGAGCATCGGTATCGGTGTTCGAAGCCGCTTGAAGCGGTAAGCTCTGATGCCCCAGCGCCGTGATGTGCATCGTGGCACGGGAACTGATACGGCTGCTGTGCTCATTTTCTCCTCTCTCCTGTTTTTGCTCCTCCTCGATGTTTGTGTGTCTTTTTTTCATGTTGATGCCAGTTATGCCGTCGCAACTGCCGTTGTGTTTGTTGACTGTTGTTCGAGCTCGCCGTCCTCCTCCTCCCGTCATGACTCTATTGCGAAGGCCTTACGGCCGGTGCCGCCGACCCTGAGAACGACGAAGATGAAAACGAGAGGGGGGGCAGGGGGAGGAGGATGAGTGGAAGGTGGAGGAAGGGTGGAGGAGGTGGATGAGGGAGGAGGAGGGGGGAGAACGGAGAAGGATGTGGAGGAGATGCAAGCGGAGGAGAAGGAGGCAGAGGAGAGCAGGAGGAGGGGGAGCAGAGGAGGAGGAGGAGGAGGAAGAGGAGGAGGCCAGATGCTTTCTTGGGACAGCCTGGGGCTCTCTTGAGGCTGTCTTGGGCCGTCCAGGGCTCCTCTTGCGCCGTCTCGAGGCACTCTTGGAGGCCTCCTGGGCAATTTGGGGCTCTCCTGGGCAGTCGTGGGGCAGTTTGGGAGCCCCTTGGGAGCCTCTTGGGGCCTCTTGGGCAGTCTGTATTTCCCACTGGTCTAGGCTGCTGGCATTCGAGGGCGTCGCCGTCCGAGGCTAAAACGCACCTGGCTCAAAAAACGCCTGCACCCCCTTAGCCCCCACTCTGCCCATGAGCCCCTGGATCCCTGAACCCCCTGACCGCACAGCACTTCCCGACTCCCTCACCCACCCCCTCCGGCTCCACGCAACAGCGGCCCTGGGCAGGGGTGGCCTTTTTGGTGCGCGGCTCAACGGGGCACGCGGGCTGGCCAAACCCAGGCGCGCAAGCCGCTGCTTCCGCTTCGCGTTCAGCGATCGGGGCACCCCATTGGTTTCGCACCAAAGGTCACTCTGGCGAAAGCTCACTCTTACGTCTAGTCGATTCCTTCCCTTCTCATCGTTCCTATTCTGCGATGTCTTTGGCTTGGAGACCCCACACGTCGGGAGGTGGTCGCCGGACTCCTGGTACCTGGACAAGATCAACAAGATCAGGCATATACTGCCTGACGCCGACGTGCACGTGTTCACCAATGTCGACGAAGAGCCCACGGGCCGAAGAATCGGGAGAGCAGAATCGGCGGCGAGCAAGGGGGGGAAGTGAGAGGGAGCAGGCATTCTCTCAGAAGGCTCGGGGTATCCCCGGCCTTCTGAGAAGTTTCCCAAGCCTTCGCCGACGACACGGAACACTTCCCGGAAGGCCAGAGGCTTTCTGAGAGGCCTCGCCGCCTTCTGGGAAGGCCTTCTCTTTCCCACCCCCTCTTGCTCGCCGCCGAAAGAAAAGGACGCAGTCGAGTCTGATGCAGAGCAAGTTGGTGAGGCACGGAGGAGGAGGAGGCGGAGGAGGAGGAGGAGGAGGCGGAGGAGGAGAAAGCGGAGGAGGAGGAGGAGGAGGCGGAGCAGGAGGAGGGGGAGGAGGCGGAGGGGGAGGAGGCGGAGGCGGAGGGAGGAGGAGGCGGAGGAGGAGGGAGGAGGCGGAGGAGGAGGCGGAGGGAGGGGGAGGAGAGGAGGAGGAGGAGGAGGAGGGAGGAGGAGGAGGGGAGGAGGCGGAGGGAGGAGGCGGAGGAGGAGGAGGAGGCAGGGGGAGGAGGAGGGGAGGAGGAGGAGCTGGTGAGGCACCCCTCTGACATCCAGCGCGCCCCCCCAGCCTTGAACCGCCCGCCGTCTTGGCATGGAGGGCGCCGCCCCGTGGCACGGTCTGCCGCGCGGCCAGTCTTGAACGAGCTGCACCCAATCCACCGGAATGGCGTCGCCCCGCTCTGCCGTCCTGACCGCGTCCGTGCTGCTCGCGTGCACCGCCCTGATGGCCGCCTTCGTGCCCTCGCCCGTGGCGTCCCGCCCCGCGGCGCAGGCCGTGCCGGCGGCAGCGCTCAGCGCGGCGGCGATCGCGGCGCCCACCGCGGCCTACCCGGCCAACGAGCGTGTGGATCCCGGCGCTGTCTGCAGCGCCGGCTGCGGACCGGCCCGGATGCGTCTGCAGCGAACCAGTGGCGGTCAAGGGGGAGGTGGAGCCACCCTGGCCAGGAGGACAGCCTGGGGGGAGGAGAGGGATTCCTCCTCCTCCTCCTCCTCCTCCTCCTCCTCCTCGTCTCCCTCCTCCTCCTCCTCCTCCTCCTCCTCCTCCTCCTCCTCCTCCTCGTCTCCCTCCTCCTCCTCCGCCTCCTCCTCCCCCTCCTCCTCCCGGTGGGGCCTGGTGATCGTTTTTGTGAAGATGGTCGGTGGTTAGGCGGGGTCGTTGGTCCATCTCAATGTGTGCGGTGGTCGGGCCCAATGGGTCCTGCTGGCGACGGCAGGGAAGGCGCTGCAGCGAGCATTGAGAGCAGGGCGCGCTTGCCAGGGGAGCGCGCGGGGTCCGCGCCGAAGCCGTCTGGTCCAAGTGCATCCTTGCTCGGGTCGGCACACGCCGTCACCCCTCTCGGCGCAGCCATGCCGAGCAAGGAGGGCTTGAGCCACAATGGTGGCACCCGGAGCCAAAGCTTCGCGGTGCCGGCCATGTAACTAGGCCTCTCCATCGGAGCATTGCCTTCGCCGGGGATGGGAAGGGGTTTCTAGCGGAGCAGTGTCTTCGCGACCTCACCAGTATACGTGCCGGGCTCTCCCGATGGAGCATCGTTTTCACGGGGAGGGCTACGGTGTCGGTGGAGCGGAAGCTTCACCTGATATCCTTAGGCACGGTGAGCCGTCTTCCCCGGAGCGGGAGTTTCGCGGGTTGGGTTTGGCGGCCGTCGGAGCATTGTCGTCGCACGGCCGCCAGGCGCTTGAGGAGGATGTGTTGCTAGAGTTTCTGCGCCGCTGTGACGAGTCGGCCGGCGCAGGTCAGGCTGCCGTTTTGGCGCTAGGGCGCCGCTTGCTGCAGGAGTACATACAAGATCCCACGGACTTGGGTGCCCTCGCCCCAGGCGGTATTCTTCCTCTGGCACATCGCACTGCATTATTGGAGTCGGTGGGGTCAGGGGGGGACGCGTTGCTCGCCGAGGCGGTCGTCAGGTCCAGGGCGATCTTGACCCCTTGGGTGCAGCGGCAGAAGTCCATGGAACGCGTGGGCAGGCAGCGCGTGCCAACGGTGCCGACCACATTGTTGCCGTTGCGCCCGGAAGCCGCGCCCAAGCGGTTTGCGCGAGTGCCTTCCGAACGCCAGGTCAGAGAGGCCGAGGGGCGCGTGATGAGAGCGGCCATCGGGGGAGATTCCCAAGTCGCGTTGTGGCCAGCGGTGGTTCGCTGAAAGCGGAGGAAGACAAGGGGCTGGAGGCCGCTGTTGATCGGGGCTTGGCGCTCGTCTGCTTCCTCGGCGACCCGGCACCGCGACTCTCCCAGCTGCGCCGGGGCGGTCAGGGGTCAGGCCGAAACGCCCCTCGACGAGGGCCGCGTCTTGCTCGTGCGTGACGTCGCCTGGGACGGCATTTCGAATGCTACCAACCTCAGCCAGATCATCCACGGCGCCGAGGCGTTCGTGAAGCACGCTTTGGCCGTCTCCTGGGACTTCAAGGACATCTCCGAGTGCGACGGCGCCGCTTCTCTGCAGGCGGAGCGGCACCGGTCTCGCGGCAAGCCGGCGCTGACCTTCCACTCAATCTGCTGGCTGGCCAACGCAGCCGGCTTCGAATGGCCAACCAAAGCTCCTCTGGTCAAGGCGCAGTGTGCACCGCCAGCTGCAGGAGCGGCTCTGGCCGCCATGCCGGCCCAGGCGCCCTGCCCTTCCTTGGAAATGCTGGGGAAGATGGAGACAGCAGTCTTCAACGCGCAATCTTCTCTGCTTTGCGTGAAGGCGGGGTCCTGCGCGCTCCTGGCGCATGGCTGCCCCCGTTGCCCCTACGCGCAGCACAGCGACAACATCCACCTGACCGATGACGCCGTGGTCGGGGTCAGCTGGAAGATGGAACGCCGGTCTCGGCGAGCCCCTTGGGCAGCCCTTCGCGTCGGTGTTTCTGGGGAGTACTGGGGCGGCCAGCGGCTGGCAGAGTTGGCGCGGGCTGGCCCGCTGGGCTCCGATTATCTCCTGGGCGCACCAACGTTGGACTTACGCGGCTTCAAGGGGAGGGTCGCGAAGTATTCGGACGTGGCGGCGGTCATGCGGAGCTTGTTGATCATGGGCGGCACGCGCGTCACGGAGGTCATCACTCTAACGCCGCGCAGCTGGCGTCACCTACGCCCGACGCTCGGGAGGCAGCTGCAGCTCCCTGACCAACAGCTCGACGATGCGGGGCACTTGGCGCCGAATTCGGGCATGCCCCGACGCTGCGATTCAGGGGCTTGCGTCGCCGAGCTGGCGGCGAAGTCCTCCATCAAGTCGGCCGTCAATGCTGGGTGGAATCCAGTCCCAGAGGGGTGCGCGCCGACGCCTGCCCCGGGCGCCCCAGCAGCGGGGGCGCTGGACCCGCGCGCGGTGGCGCCCTCCCCCCCGCGCTCCCTGAAGCAGGCCAGCCGGGGCCCCGCGGCGACGACGGCCCCCAGGGGCCCCCCGCGTCCGTCGCGCGCCGGGCACGACAGTCTTGGCGCCCCAGTCCGGCGTCTTCGACTCGGACAGCGGCAAGAGCCATCTGCGCCGCGCCACCGGCCGGACGAGGCGCAATGCATGGGCGCGCGGCACGCCCGAGGAGCCGGGCGCGAAGGCGGCGTTCTTGGGCGACGACGCGCCGGGGAAGAGGGCGCTCGGTCCCTTCTGCTTGCGTTGCCAGGGCGGGGAGCTGGCTGAATTGGTCGGCCTCCCGCAGAATGAGGAGACTCGGAGATGCCCGACGTTCCCCGCTCGTCGGCTTCATCCTTGGCTTCTTCTGCGAGCCGCTCCTGACGAACGGCGAGCGGAAATGCGGCGCGAGCACGGCAATCCACCAGCGGGATGCGGCGCGGAGGCGGCGGTGTACATCGCCGTCCTTCGCCGGGCCACGGGGGGGCTCCAATGGCAACGGCAACCCGTGGCCCCCCGACCGCGCGCGAGGACTGATAGAGCCACCGGCGGGAAAAATGAGCTCCTGAAAGTTTGCTTGGCTACAAAAACTTTCGCAGTCAAGCAAATTTCCATAGTCCGTCTAACCCCACCCCCGAAAGGATCTTTAGGGGGGGTGTTTGCTGGAACGCATTTTGGGCACGTGACCGGGGTTCCTGGAGCCAGAGGTTCCCGGAGGGGCTTCCGGGGACGTCTGGAATCACGTTCCTGGCAGGGCTTCCAGGGACATGCACCCTTGGGGGGTATACCCCCCGCATACATGTGGAGACGGCAGGTGGTTAGGCAAGGTCGGAGGTCCATCACAATGCGCGGCGGTCGGGCCCAATGGGTCCTGCTGGCGAGGGCAGAGGAGGGGCTGCGGCGAGCATTTAGAGCAGGGCGCGCTGGCCAGGGGAACGCGCGGGGCCCGCGCCGAAGCCGTCAGGTCCAAGTGCACCCTTGATCGGGTCGGCACGCGCCGACGCCCCGCTCGCCCGCCCGTGCCCTCCCAGATCGGGATGGCGGAGCTCCACTGCGTGGCCGCCAGCTACGGCGCCCCCTTGGCGTTCGCGCAGTGGCTGGCCGATCAGGGCCTGAACCACCCCGACGACCTGGCCGTCGCGATTTCCAGAGGGGGGCGAGGTTGAGGCAAGCCTCATCCAGGCGTCTGGCGTCGACTTCCCGCGCCTCATCGACAGGGTGGGCGTCGCCGCGCTGCGGCTCCATTGCCGCGGCCGCGTCGATCGCGAAGCCGGCCTTCGGTCGGGCCGGATTGCGGACGGGTCGGACACCAAGCTGGACGACGGGATCACAAAGGACCTGTCCGAGCTGCGGGTGCTGCGCCACAGCTTCAAGTTGGGCGCGACACGCATTCTGTCCGACACCCTGCTCGCCCAGCGCTACAAAGGGTTGAACGCGCAGCCCAGGCGCCTCGCGATCATCTTCCCGGAGCACGTCCGCACTGCGGCCTCCGTGGAGAGGAGGCGCGGAGGCGTTTCGTCGGCCTTGCAGCCCGGCAAAGCGGCGGCGCCGCAGGTCATCGAAGCGGAGGCCGTGGCGGGCCACGACGAGTTGTGGGCCAGGATCCGCGGGGACTTCTCGACCATGTGCCTCGCCCCCAATTCTACCCAGGACTTTTCCCCCTACGAGGCGTGCGAAACTTTCTTGGACAAGGTCCGTGCGTGGCCCTTCCAGAGGTTCCGCGGCCAGCAGGCCCCGCTCGACTTCTACGCGGGCGCCCATAACAAGACCGCGCAGGTGTTCGCGGAAGGCATCAGGACGGCCAAGAAGAGCCCCAACGACCTCACGGTGCAGACCCGCGCCTACCGGCACTTCTGGACCGTCTACATTCCGCCGGCGAGCGAGCAGCCAGCCCGGGGCGGCGCGGCGCCGGGCAGCACCCCGGACGTCACGACGGACCTGCAGAACCAGGTTGCGCGCTTGCGCGAGGCTCCTCGCACCCAGCAGAGCAACTTCGACCGGGCGCTCGCCCGGGCCAACAGGGGCCAGGCCCCAGGGACCAGATACGGCCAGCGCCGGGAAAAGGCCAGGGGCAGGTCGAGGTCCATCCATCCACAGGGACTAGCGGCCGCGGCGGCGGACGCAGTGGAGGGCGCGGCAGAGGCAGAGGGCGCGACGGAGCGCAGAGGCGGTGACTAGGCCCCCGCGGGGCGCAGGCCAAGGGGGTCCGCAGCGCTCCCCTCGGCGCTCGGTCTGGCATGTGGACAGCGCGGCACGACTTCGGTCTGGCCTTGCTGGCGACTTGGCCGAGCAACGAAGATTCCTGCCGGCGGGCCCCTGCCAGACTGAGGGGTCCGGCAATCGCATCCCGCCGCGGCAGCGATTTCAAGTGGTCTCCCGCGACCGTCGTGCACGCGAACAACGCGGGCCTCCCCATTCCCGTCGGGGCGGCTTACGTAGGCCAGGGTAGTTTGTGCAGCCATCCTCGGCCACCGCCGTGGGCAGACCCTTCTGCCTTTCTTTCAGACTTGCCTTGTCCTCGCAAGCAGTGGCTGGACAACTACTTGGACGATCATGTGAAGTACATGTACTCGCTGAAGTTTTTGAGCGCCAAGCGCCTGCTGTGCGACTGTGGGCATTCAGGCGAGGGCTGCCTGGCGGCGTGCATCGCCGGCCGGATCGCGCGGCATTGCCGCCATCCTTGTCCGCCCCCCGACGGCGTGGAGGAGCGCGACGGCCGCGCGGGGCCCCGCTCGCCGCGGCAGGGCGCGGGCATCCTCACCTCGGGAGCGGAGCTGCCGATTGGCCAGGTCCTCGACCAGGCCGCCTTCGCGCCCTCGGGGCGACGCACCGTGCAGGCAGTCTCCCGCGCGGTGTCGGCGGGGCTCCAGCCCGCGAAATGCGCGCCCCCGCAACTGCTGCCGACGGACTTCCCCCCGGGGCGTCACGTCGTCGAGGCACTTGCCGCGGTTCACCCGTGCGCCAGGCCTGCGACGCTCCCCGCGCAGGCGGGCGTCGCCATCTCGTCGCAGCCCCCGGACTAGCCCCCCTTCCTCCTTTCGCCCCCCTTCGGCTCAATTCCTGGCGAAGTCGGCGGAGATTGTTTTCTGCGGATTCGTGGAAGTAAAATTATACGCATCTGGGCGCCCGCGCATTCAGAATCGCAATTGGAGCATTATTCCCTGCGTTCTAGCGCCAGCTTGCCCAGAATCGCAATCCAAACGAAATTCCGCGGTTTCTTGCGCCAGCGCTCTCGGGATGATTATTCCGGCGCCAGCGCGCCCATGTCGCAGTCAGCGCGGCCGCGCACATTCTCGCGCCTGCGCGCCCAGATCTCGGAGCTAGAATTTGTGCGTTCTTGCGCCCGCGCGCCCAGAATCGCAAACCGATTGGAATCCCGCGCATTCGGGCGCCCGCGCGCCCAGAATCTCCATTCTGGCGCCGGCGCGCCTACTTGTGCAATCGAAGCGCGACGCCGCGCGCCCTGGCACGTGCGTGCCCAGAATTGCGCCGCAGTCCGGGCTTGGCACCTCGAACGTAACTTGCTGCAGTCCTTCGAGTCTGCGTGGACGCCTCGGGCTTGGCATTTCTGGCGTGGTCTTAAGAAGCTGGCTGATCATTCGCTCCGCCGAGCAAAGGGGCCGCTTTCGCTGCTGGAGATCACATCAGTGCAGCGGCGTCGTCCGGCACAGGCTTCTGTCGCTGGCGTTTTTTCGGCAGCTGGCGCTTCGCGGAGCTGCAGGCGCTCTTGGTATCTGACGCGGTGGGCCAGGACACGGCGTTCCAGTTCAGGATCAGAAGGCAGAAGAACGATCCGTTCGGTGAGGGTCTGCTCGCCCGGGTGCCCGAGACCCCGGCTTGGGGGCCGCTGTGTCCAATAAGGCAGCTGCGGAGCTGGCTGCGTCTACGAGCCGAGACCCGCGGGCAGGTCGAGGGCTTCTTCTTCTTCTGTGTGACAGGGGTGGCTGATCACAAGCTTGTTTCCGCTGACACTCCCCGGCGCGTGCGCCCGCCGCCTTGACGACGCACAGGTGGGCGGTCACTCTCTGCGAAGAGGCGTGGCGCAGTGGTGAAAAAACGCAGCGTCCCTGCCCGAAGAGTTTGTGCAAGGCCAGGGCGGCTGGCCTTCCATCGATGTGATGAGAAACTTCTACGCGAAGTTTTCCGCGGCAGCTCGAAAGGGGCGCCTGCTGGAAAGGAAACCGCCCATGCAGCATGCTCCGTTGCACAGCCGTCGGCGAGCCGACCGGCGAATTTAGATGCATTATTTGTCTGGCAGCGTCCAATGTGATCCCTTTGTGCTGCGCATTGAAAGACATTGGGACGGCTTGGCATCCTGCGCTTGCGTCCTCATCGGTCCGCGCTTCGCGCTATCCTCCCGGACGCGTGCCTCGTGGGGGTAGGTGTCTCTCCTTTTCTGGAGGCGCTGCCGTGGCCTGCGGCAGAAGCAGCACTCCCGGAAGAGCCACATCCGTGGCAGTATTAGTTTTGTCCATTCCGCCCCCTCCCCCTCTCCCTCCGCCTCCCTCGCCTCCCCCTTCCCCTCCTCCTCGATCCTCCTCGATCTTCCTCTTCGATCCTCCTCGGCTTCGGTCGTGCCTCGCGCGCTCCTGAGCCCCCCAGAGCGGGCGGGCGGGCCACAGGTGCGCTGTTTGCCGACAAAGCTGGCGCCCGTGGGGGAGGAGGTTCGGCGCCACGGCTGCGTGGGGCCTTTCGGAGATGGAGGGAATCACTGAGAAATCGGGAGGCAATCTTCAATTGCTTCTGGCTTGACGGGGCCCCCACCTCCCATGATTGTCGTGTGTAAGTATGCTGGCGGGCCAGTTCTTGATTTGAGTGCCCCCGCGACTTTGCCAGAACACCGACAAGCGCGACCTCTACCTGTGGAACTCCAGCAATATGACAGGATCGCGTTTTGAAGTTCCCGTGGTTTTGAGTTTCCGTGCACCGGTTTACATGTAACAGGAGGACACACCGGATGGGGATGACAGATTTCTTGATAGACGTTCCTTTTTTGTTTCCATCATGCCAGGAAGTAGAACTGTAGACTAGCATGGCAGTTGAGATCCCAAGTTTCGCCTGGGTAGGTACACTTCCTCGCAGCGTGGATACCAAGTTCTAGCCAGTTGATATGTGTGATCTTCGCGTTGGGTGCCGTCCGTTCGGATTAAGCTAAGCAGACCATTCGTTTTGATGAACTACGATTGCATGCTCTCAGATCTCTGGTAGCGGGGAGTGAAAACGCCCGTGCGCTGATACGTCGTGGGAGCGGCATCGAGCAGAGGGAGGGAGTGCATGATGGGGGGGACGGAAAAGGGAAACGCCACGGAGAGGCGAGGAGAGGAGAGGGCTTCGGTCGGGAACTTTTGGATGGCGCGTCGCTCCGCCAGTTCTGGCCCACCGCGCTCCGGCGCGACTCGCCATCCACTTCCAAGCCCCCCCAGGCGGCCACTCTTTGAGCCTCCCCCGTCCCTTTCCAGCCCGCGCAGTGGAGCGTCACGCTCTGTCGGGGCCGTCGCGGCCACATGCGAGGCAAGAGCCCCCCGACCGCAAGGAGGACTTTTTCGGCCTCTTGGGGCCCTCGCCGGGCCGTTGGACATTGTCGGGAGCTGGAGCACAGACATTACCAGTGGCGAGCGGCTTTTCAGTCCCAGGACTTTTTTTGAGGGTCGGGGACGACGTCGGGATGGTGTGCTGTATACGTTTCCCCCGTTTTCCGACGGGAGCAAGGACAAATGTATGCACCAGGATCCCGTATACACCAGGATCCGCGCTCCTATGCGAATTTCAGCGCAGGGTCGGAAAAAGCGTCGGTGTATAGAGTTCGTTCTCCCACATTGGAATCCGAGGCCGAAATTTATACATGACCACCGCCTGAAGGGGTCAGTTCTCGGAGCCTCGGCAGGCGGTGGATATGGACATTTTCGGGCCCCGGGGGCCGAAAATATATACATATCCGCTGCCCGCTGGGGCACCAGGACGTCGATTCCCAGGCAGTGGATGTGGATAAGCCCCCGCCTCGCATGGAAGCACGGCTCAGTATGGGATGCCGGCCCTGGGGCAGGCCGGGGTCGGGACTTCTGTGGAGCGCACCTGGAATACATCAAGCAAGCCGACGCATCGGATGGTCGGGAAAGATGCTGGCATCGCTGCCCGTCTCTCGTCTCGGGCGGGTGGCAATGGCCCTGACCTTCCAGAGAGCTATTTTTTAGCCCTGGAGGCCTAACAACCCAAACAACAAAACGAAACAGCCCAAAACCGAGACGTAGAATAGCTCTGGGATAGGTTTTTAAGTCGCGTGCTATTTGTCAGCCCTCTCTGGAAGGTCAGGGGGGGGGGGACCCAGATGGGTGGTGAAGGAAAAGGCCCCAAAGGGGCCCTTTCGCCCCCCTTTGGGGCACCAGCTGGCTCCAAAAAAGGACCCCAAAGGGCTCCTGTGGGGCCCTTTTCTTCACGGCCCATGTGGGTCACCCCCCATTGCCACCCGCCCGATTCTGTGGAGCTCGGGCGAAGAGAAATATGCACATGCACCGATCCTGACAACGCCCATCCTTGACCCAGGATCGGTGCATATGCCTTCCTGGCCAAGGTAGGAGGGCATATGCACCGATCCTGGGATGGGTCTGGCCAGAATCGGTGTATGTGCATAGTTCTTTTTCCTCTAGGAGCGCGCATGGAACGAATCGAACAAATCGAGACATCGCACGGTCGGGACAGGTACTGGCACCGCTGCCCTTCTCTCGAGACGTCTCCAGGGCCGGGTTCGCCCGTGGGAAGCTTGGCCAGAGCGCGCCCAAAGGAGAGGGTTGCGCGGAGCCGCGGTGCCGGTATGTTATTTTTGCTTCCAGGTTTTGTGAGACCCACCTTGTTCAAACATCTAGCCTTATGTCGGGCATGTCCTTCGACTGGAGGGGTGTTCACAAGTAGCCTAAAAATAGTATGGGAACGAGTTGTTTGACTATTTCTGAATCTGTTTCAAGCATTCGTCGCTATTCTTGCAAGATCCGCCTGTAGGAGGACATGCCCGATCTAGACCTTTTTAATCCAGCCCATTGCTAAAGGCATCCCAGCCCTGGATCCGCGGTCCGACTTTCTTTTCGATTCCGTATCCTATATCCCTCATCCGATTACAGCCAAGACGCTGAAATGAGGAACCGTTTGGATTCGGAGGGAGCTCGATGCTCCTTGAGTCCTTCCGTGGTTGTTCCTCTAGCCCTTCTCGTGCACCCAGGCTTCTTTGAAGCCACAGAGGGGCTCCGTTCCTTATTTAGCGCTCCTTATTTCAGCAGTCCGACTGTACATTATCTTTATTCTTTTTTTGTCCACGGCGTTCCTTTTCCTGTGCAAGCTCCTCGGCACCGCCTGCACCCCGGGCCCCGCCCTCTCCGGCCGCCTGAGGCCCCGCCCGCCTCTGCCCTGTCTCCCCAATCAGAGCTGTGCGTAGCCCGCTTAGCTTCTATCGGAAGAGGTTCGATCTCGCCCCGCAGACCAAAAAAGACTGCATACCCTGACCTTCCAGGAGGGCAAACAAAAACAGCACGCGACTTAAACACCTATCCCAGAGCTGTTCTGCGTCTTGGTGTTAGGCCGTTTCGTTATGTGTTTTAGGTCGTTAGGCCTCCCCTGCTAAAACATAGCTCTCTGGAAGGTCAGGGTAGCTTTTTATCGGAAGAGGTTCGCTCTCGCCCCGCAGACAATATATATATATATATATATATATATATATACATATATATATATATACTATCTTTACCCGAGCATGGCTTTTGCGCGCAGTTCTGCAGGCCATCCGAAGCGCTGCGCCCTTTGGCCGCCGCCCTGCTCCCCGGGCCGAGCCGGCTCCGGGGCCCTGCCGGGGCAGCTCGGGGGCCGCCGCCGTTGGGGCATCCCGGGGACGGTGCGGGCCTCGGGGAAAAAAGCAGCGAGCACTCACAAGGTCACAGGGTCACAAAGTCAGAGGGCTACAGAGCATGGAAAGATTCCTCATCGGGGTCACAGGGTCACAGGGTCACGAGGCCAGAGGGCTAGAGAGCATGGGGAATGTTCCTCATCCGGGTCACAGGGTGTCCCAAGGTCACAGGGCTACAGAGCATGAGGAATACAGGCCTCGGAAAAAATAGCGAACACTCATGCCACACTGATCTGTGAACGCCTCCCCCTCCCCCCAAAGTTCGAAGCTGGCGGTGGGTCTGCTGAGTTGCACCTCGACCGCAGTCTCCCCCGCGCGTGCCAACCTTGAGTTTGGGGGGCGGGGTGTTCACTAATTGTTTCCCTCCGTCTGGAGGGCCCTGGGCGCCCCTCAAGAGGGCACCCGGGCCCGCCTTCCGGGCGCTCCTGGACCGTCTGGCGCTTTCGGAGGCTTCCTTTTGGGTACCTCTCCGAGCCGTTTTGGGGGCCGTCTTGGGGGCGTTCTGGGCCGCATTTGGGCTGTCTTGGTGGGCCATTTTGGGGCCCACTTGGGTGGCCACGGGGCCATCTTGGAGGCCTGGGGGGGGGAGGTCGTCTTGAGCTATCAGACGACCAGATGGGCGAGAACACGTAATCGGTTCAACACCCATTGGAGAATCCATCTTTTTTCGCCTCTGGAGGCCCTTTTGAAGGTCCTTTCAGAGGCCCTCGTCGACCATCTTCAGAGCCTCTGGGGCCCGCCCCGGTCATCTTGGAGCAGCCATCTTTCACCGTCTTCGGCTTCAGGGGCCCTCTTCGGAGCATCCTGGTTTACTAAACGTCCTTGGGCGTTTACTAAACAGCCCTGCCCTATTCGATTCTTGTTTGGGTGCGTTTACTCAACGGCTTCACGTACCAGGGTGATTGGATGTTGTTGCCCTCTATAGTAGGCAGTAGTAACATTGAGACACATGTTGTAGATATAATAGACATGTACACAATACGCCAATCAAATCGCTCAAAACCGCAGTCTTGCATGCGACTTCACAGGCTGCCGCTACCAGAGGGGCCGGCGGATTCTAGCCAGGGCCCAGCACTGTATTCGTTTTCGTCCGTTGATTCCGCGTCTGGCCTCCCAGCAGCAGCGCAGGCGATTCGGAGGATTCGCAGCTGTAGCATCTGAAAATGGCCAGCATCAGAAAATGGACGACGTGCATATTGACATATCCTGATTATTCAAACCAGTGCTTCGTTCTCTGGGCCAAGAGTTGCTGCCTCCCTCCCGCCGCCCCGCCTGTCAGTGCACACCGACGAGGACAAGCAGCTGGCAGCGCATGCGACCATGGACGCCTGGGCGCACTTCGCGCAGGCCGACATCGTGGTCCTGTCTCGGAGCCGCCCCGGAAGTTGCTCCGCTCGGTGCCTCCTTCGTTGGGGTCTTCTTCCTCGCAGATGGCAAGGCTTCGGCTTGCCCAGAGACAGCAGCCCCAGGATCACAGGGCTTCCCTGGACCCCCCTCGGGCCCTGCCCCCCCCACCCCCCCCGCTGGCCGCGTGGCGTAGTCTGCGGGTTCCTTCCGTCTGCCTGCCCTGAGATCCGACGTCTTGAAGAAGCTGAGGCGTCGTGAAACACCAGCCGGCCCATCTGCGAGGGTCCCGGGCCCGCAGCTGGGCGAAAGCGCCCGGCTCGGAACGGGTCGAGTCGACAGGATGTCAGGACGTCAGGGCTGTTCTGGGCCGCCCTCGCCGTCCCTGGCCCGAGGAGCCCCTGCGCCCCCGACGACCCTGACCCTCCAGGAGGGCTAACAACATAGCACGCGACTTCAAAAAACCCATCGCAGAGCTATGCTGCGTCTTGGTTTTGGGCTGTTTCGTTTTGTTTTTGTTTAGGTTTTTATCAGGAGGAAAAGAAACACACAGACACAATTAAATCTCGATTCCCCAGAAAATATGGGAAAATATGGGAAGGGGTGGGGAAGACAAAAACCCAGAAAATATGGGAAAATACGGGGGATATTTTTATTTGTGTGTATTTATTTGTGTGTCCCAGTTCCCCTTCATTTTAGGCCTCCCGTGCTAAAACATAGCTCTCTGGAAGGTCAGGGTCGGGTCGGCCCCCCGGGAGCCCTCGGGAGCCCAGCCCGGCAGCCCGACCTCCGTGCGCTGGGGGCCGCGGAGGAGTGCGGGCAGGCTGCAGGCCTCTCACGAGGAGGACTGCGGGAAATGTCCTCGTCGTCGTGGTCGTCGTCGTCGACGTCGTCGTCGTCTTCGTGCGACGACGTCGTCGTCTTCGTGCGACGATGTCGTCGTCTTCGTGCGACGACGACGACGACGACGACGACGACGACCTCCTCTTCCCTCGGCATACATCCCTCGTGCGACTTGCCGGGACGAATCGCTGGTTCTCCTCCCGAGACCTCGAACTGAACTATTCCCAGGTTGCTAGACTCAGGGGCATAGGGTTACTTGCATGGCGTTGCCCCCCCCCCACCACTCTCGCCGCTCTTCGAACGAATACTGGCGTGCGTGCAAGTGCCTTTCGACTTGCGTGATTTCCGCACGTGCCAGTCGTTAGCGGCTTGCTTCAGGTTCAGCCCCCCCTCCTTCCATGTAAGTAAACTTGCCGGAGTCTAAAAAAAATCAGGCTCTTGTGTAATCACCACCCACCAAACCACCCCAACCCAACCGGAAGGCCTCAATGTGCCCTCCAGTTCCAGTGGGGGGGGGATCCCGAGTGTAGTCTCTTGGGGATCCCAGGCACGTGCGCACGATACAGATCAGACAGCGCATGTACACCGCTGATGCAACAAAGCACGCGTGCCAGAGCCCACGAATCCCACTGGGTGAGCCCGACGCCAAGCCCGACGCCAGCGCCTACGCCCATGCCGACCCCAACACCGACCCCAGCACCGACCCCGTCGACGCCTACGCTCGCAACGCCCGCCTCCGCATCGGCCACCGGCGACCCTCACCTTGTGAACGTGTACGGGCAGAGGTTCGACCTCTACCAGCCGGGACTGTACACCCTCATCCGTATCCCGAAGACGGCCGCTAGGCACAAGACGTCATTCCTCGTACAGGCGACGGCGACTCGCCTCGGGACGGTGCGAGGCTCGAGGACGTGCATTTCACGAAGATAAACATCACCGGCATCTGGCCGCGGGAGCACCGCAGGGAAGACCTGGGCGCGGCCGCCCCAAGTGGAACACCTTTTATCGCGTCGGCGTGGAGGTCGTCCACGGCCACGCCTCCGAGGGCACGAGGTACCTCAACATCCTCGTGCGCTGCTCGAAAGGGCGAAGTTCTCTCTCGGAGGGCTGCTCGGCGAGGACGACCATGCGGCGGCCAACACGAAGCCCGCGGGGTGCAGGCACGTCGTGAGCAGTTGATCAGGGGAGAGAAAAACACACACATACACAATTAATCGTCGATCCCCCAGAAATATTTGAAAATATGGGAAGTGGGGGGGGGAAATATTGGGAATATTTTTATTTGTGTGTATTTATTCGTGTGCTTAGTTGAGGCTGCAGAACCAACGTCACTGGCTTCTTCTCTGCAGCACGGTCGTTGGCGAGTTGCCGCGGCGTTTGTCCCGCGTCGAGCCGCCCAGAGCGAGCACGGGCTCTCTTGTCCCTCCTGCGGCTTCTCTTCTTCATCCTCCAGCTCCTCCCCTGGACCATGCCTGGTTGTGGGCCATTTGCTCGAATTCAACGAACTCGTCTCTCTCCCTCCTCTCTCTTTGAACGAACTCGTTTTGGGCCATTTGCTTGGATGGGCCTGAGCATGCCTGGTCATTCCGGCGCTTCTTCGCGCGTCGGCGCGCGCATTGGCGCGTCGGCGCTCGCTGGGCCTCAGGACTGTCAAACAACCACTCGGGCTGCAAAAGCTGGTCCCGGGGAAGTGGTCGAGAGGTCTGGGACCCGCGTCTCGAACAAATCGAGACAGTGAATGTTTGGAGGGGGGACTCAGAGGTGTAAGAGGTACCCGTACCGCTATCCTTGCCTCGTTTTCGCTCTGTTGGGCCTTCTGGGCGGCTCTCTCGTCGCCATCGCTGCGCCCAGGAGATGGGAGGAGAGGGGAGGGAGTTAAGCCAGAGGAGCGGGGAGTGGATGGGGGGAGGGGCATGGGGGGAGGCGCGAGGGGAGAGAGGAGGAGGGGAGGAGGAGGAGGAGGAGGAGGAGGAGGAGGAGAGGAGGAGGAGGAGGAGGAGGAGGAGGAGGCGGAGGAGGAGGAGGAGAGGAGGAGAGGAGGAGGAGGAGGCGGAGGAGGAGGAGGAGGAGAGGAGGAGGAGGAGGAGGAGGAGCGGAGGCGGAGGTGGAGGAGGACGAGGAGGAGGAGTTGAGGAGGAGGAGGGGGAAGGGGAAGGAGGAGGAGGAGGGAGGAGGAGGAGGGGGGGGCGGAGGAGATAAGAGGGAGGAGGAGAGAGGAGGGGGGAGGGGGAGGAGGAGGGAGGAGGAGGGAGGAGGAGGAGGAGGAGGAGGAGCAGAGGCAGAGGGCAGGAGGAGGGGAAGGGGACGGAGGAGGAGGAGGAGGAGGAGGAGGAGGAGGAGGCGAGCGGGAGGCGGAGGGAGAGGACGGGGAGGAGGAGGAGGGAGGAGGAGGAGGAGGAGGAGGAGGAGGAGGAGGAGGAGGTGAGAGGAGATAAGACGAGAGGAGAAGAGGAGGAGGAGGAGGAGGAAGAAGAGGAAGGAGAGGAGGAGGAGGAGGAGGAGGTTGGAGGAGGATGATGAGGAGGATGAGGAGGAAGACGATGATGATGAGGAGGAGGAGGAGCAAGATGAGGACGGGAAGGAAGCAGAGGAGGAGGAGGAGGAGGAGGAAGAGGAGGAAGAGGAGGAGGAGGAGGACGAGGACGAGGCGGAGAGGGAGGAACAATCATACGCATAATATGACCGATGGTTATATTAATACTACCAATACTTAGCAGAATAATGAGACGACTCCGACTGATAGTAATACTATATATACACGAATAGAAATCGAAGTGCTACTACTACAGCTACTACTACTACTAATACTACTAACGATTATATAAATAATAACGATACTACTAATACGACTACCAGTTATAACATTGCTAATACTTATAAGAACGAATCATGACAAAACCACTATCACTAACAATACCAATACTACGCATACTGATAATACTACTACGATCACTGTATACGAATGATACGAGTAACCTGCTATTAACATTACCACATATAACAATCATACTAAATATACGGGTGCTAATAAGACGACTGATATCGTTGAGAAAAGAAGGGTCATACTACTAAACAACAATAATAATCAGCTGAATAATACGGAGAGGGGGAGGAGGAGGAGGAGGAGGCGGAGGAGGCGGAGGAGGATGAGGAGGAGTACGCAGGGATGTTGATGATGATGATGTTGATGATGATGATGCTGATGATGATGATGATGAGGAGGAGGAGGAGGAGGAGGAGGAGGAGGAGGAGGAGGCGGAGGCGGAGGCGGAGGAGGAGGAGGAGGAGGAGAGGCAAGAGGAGAGGGGATGGAACAGAGAGAGGAGGATAATGCGGAGAGAGAGAGAGAGGAGGAGGAGGAGCGGAGGAGGAGGGAGGATGAGGAGAGAGGATGAGGATGATGATGTGATGATGAGTGACTGATGATGCGATGATGATGATGATGATGATGATGCTGATGATGATGATGATTATGATGATGATGGATGAGATGATGATGATGGATGAGGATTGAGGAGAGTAGGAGGAGGAGGAGGAGGATGAGGAGGAGTGGGGAGGAGGAGGGGGAGGAGGACGAGGAGGAGAAGAGATGAGGAGAGGAGGAAGGAGGAGGAGAGTGGAGGAGCGGGAGGAGGATGATTCGGCGAGGGGAAGACGAGTAGAGAGGAGGAGGGGAGGAGGAGGAGGAGTATTGAGAGGATGAGATATTATTATTATTATGAGAAGATGAGAGGAGGGAGAGGAGTGGAGGAGGAGGAGGAGGAGGAGGGGGAGGAGGAGGATGAGAGGAGGAGGAGGCGAGGGAGGCGAGCGTAGGAGGAGGAGGAGACGGAGGAGGATTCGAGGAGGAGAGAGGAGGAGGAGATGAGATAGGCGAGAGGGATAGTAGTAGGAGGAGGAGGAGGAGAGGAGGAGGAGATAGGAGGAGGAGGAGAGGCGGAGGAGTAGGAGGTGGAGTAGGAGGAGAGAGGAGGGGAGAGGAGGAGTAGTGGAGGAGGATGATGAGGAGGATGACGAGGAGGAGGAAGATGGAGGAGGAGAATGGTAGGAGGAGGAGGAGGAGGAGAAGGACGAGGAGGAGAAGGAAGAGGAGGAGGAGGAGGAGGGGGAGGAGGAGGAGGAGGATGAGGGGGAGGGGGATGATGATGACGATGCTGATGATGTCGATGATGATGACGAGGCCGATG